TAAAATCCCCTTCTCTCTGACCATAGTGGACACACCAGGGTTTGGAGATACAAGAGGCATAGAAAGAGATAAAGAGATCATTGAACATCTACGTAATCTCTTCTCTGCTGAGCTTGGTGTCAGTGAAGTTGATGCTGTGTGTTTTGTAGCTCAGGCTGCTTCAGCACGACTCACACTATCACAGAAATATATGATTGATTCAGTTCTCTCAATCTTTGGTAAAGATGTGGCAGAAAACATCAGGGTTCTGGTGACATTCACAGACGGCCAGCGTCCACCAGTTCTAGAGGCAATCAATGCTTCAGGTGTCCCATGTCCAAAAACAAAAGACGGGCTGCCAGTTCACTTCAAATTCAATAATTCAGCTTTGTTTGCAGACAATAAATCAGCAGCAGACAGCATGAGTGAGGATGATGAAGATGAAGGCTTTGATCAGATGTTTTGGAAAATGGGGACAAAAAGTATGAAGAAGTTCTTTCTTGCTTTGAATGTCATTGAGACCAAAAGTTTGAAGATGACTCAGGAAGTCCTCAGAGAAAGAAAGCAGCTCGAGAACTCAGTTGAAAACTTGCAGAAGCAGGTTAAAGTTGGGTTAGCCAAGCTTGAGGAGATAAAAGAAACATCTGAACAACTGAAAGAGCATGAGGCAGAAATCAGCAGAAATGAGAACTTTGAGTTTGAAGTTACTGTCACAAAGCCTGTTCATATAGATATTTCTGGTACTGGATGTTACCTCACCAACTGTCAGCAGTGTCATCACACCTGTCACTATCCCTGTGGAATACCCAATGATGCAGATAAAGCAGGGTGTCTAGCAATGGGATCAGATGGATACTGTACTGTGTGTCCAGGCAAATGTTACTGGAATGTACATTTTAATCAGAAGTACAAATGGGAGTATAAGGAAGTTAAAGAAAAACGAACAGTGAAAGAACTGAAAGAAAAGTACTTTAAAGCTGCAGATGCTAAGAGACCTGTTGAGGCATTGATTGACAAACTGAAGGCTGAGTATGATGAAGTGCAGACTGAGGTGAATAAACTGATAGAAAGATCTGCTCAGTGTTTAAACAGACTTAAAGAGATCGCACTGAAGCCAAACCCTCTTTCTACTCCAGAGTACATTGACATGATCATTGAGGGAGAGAAATCTGAGGGCAGGCCAGGATGGAAGAAACGAGTTCAGTCTCTGATGGCCATGAGAGAAAAAGCCGAGTACATGGCCAAAGTAGCAAGAGGAGAGACATTCCTCCAGAGTCCATCTACAGACTTACAGCACTGTAACCAGGGTCAAACAAAGAACAGTAAGCTTGATACTAACCTAGATCAAAAACAAGACAAGACTGATTTTGTCAAAGGCCAGGATAGTAAGCTTGATACTAACCCAGAAAAGGATAAAGACAAGACTGATTCTGATTCTGACAAAGGCCAGGACAGTGAGCTTGATACTAAACCAGATGAGAACCAAGAAAAGACTGATTCTGATTCTGACAAAGGCCAGGACAGTAAGCTTGATACTAACCCAGATGAGGACCAAGACAAGACTGATTCTGATTCTGACAAAGGCCAGGACAGTGAGCTTGATACTAAACCAGATGAGGACCAAGACAAGACTCATTCTGATTCTGACAAAGACGAAGACAGGGCTTATGCCACTAGCCAGCAAGACTGAGAGCACACAGAGATAAGTGCCAACCAAGACAAGGCCATACCAGACAAGAACAAGGGTAGCACAATGGTCACAGTGAAGAATCCTTACTATAAAAAAATGCACAGGCTTAATTTAAAGGATTTAGTTGACAGGGATGTGTACACAGATGTAGAAAGACATAATGGCTGGGAGGACAAATTTATATGTGATTAATTGTTTTAACTTTTTTTATATTTGAAATATTTTTTATATACACTTTTGTTGTGTATTGCATTGTATTTTATATTGCTTTGGTTTAATTTAGTGGCTTTTGGTTGAATTATGGAGAACAGTATGTTTTATTACTGCCTGTAGTTTTGTTTCTTTTGTCTGGTGTGTTACTCTTGAAAAACATTCTTTTTTGCTCAATAAATGCATCATGTCAAGTGTTACATTGTCATTATTTCATCGTATTAACTGTTCCTATGGATCAGGGGCAATAAGTATTCTTACTCAATGTGCGATAAAAGCAATATATTATATTATATTATTATATATATTAGTATTGTGAGGGATTGCAAAAAAGAAAAACATTGATGTTTTGAGGTCTCCATCAAATCTTTTTTTAGCCTTAGCAAGAAATCTCAAACTTTTAAAAATGTATATTCAACAGACTAAGTTCTACAGACATAAAGTGATAAAAATGTGTAAATAGAGAAGAATCATACTGACATGAGTTGTGAGGATGAAGCCTATTTTCTAAATTTGCATCAAGACTATAATCAAGCAGTCTCGACATTGCAGATTAAACTAAGGTAACTTCCTGATCATACTGTGCTCAATAAGCCAGTGACCCACAATGCCCTTATTATTCACTGTACACACACCTGTTGACTAATTTCCTAGAAACAAGACTTTTTTACTGTCTTGAGATTCCTTTTCTTGCAGTGAAAGAAATGGGAATGTATATAAAAACATATACAAATAGTCTGCTTGGAACAATAATGTGTGTCTAATATGTTCTTTTCTCCCAGAAAAAGTATAATTTCTATGCAGATGAATGTGAAAACATCATTCTAGTGACAACCTCTGCACAGACATCATTCAAACATCACACAAGAACAAACACTGCAAATATTTTTGAGTAGAGGGGACTTTAAGGAGCCTAGCTGTTTGGGGTTTTCGCTGAAAAGTTGGGTCTTTTACTAGCCTTATACATTTAATGCTGAATTCAAAGCCCAACATCGTCTTTGTAGTCTTCGACATCAATGACTGTGAATTGGGACTAACATTCCAGGAATTCTGTAATAAACCCAGTACCTCAGACCAAGGATCCAGCTTTAAGAAAATTGACTGCAACAGCATTTTTGGCCATAAGGTGGCAGTCATATGAACTGTTGTCCATACAAAGTCAATACAACCCATATTTTCTGTAGGCACACTGATTGTCCCTAGAAAACCCTGATAATACTAACTCATCACCCCAATGGACCTCACACCTGCATTTATTTTGAAGCCATCTTTACCTCCTATGGATAACAGTGGCCCCAATTGACCTGTGGGGGCCCCAAACTTAAGATTTAGTTTCAGACATGTGAGTTGACTGGCAGGAGTCATAGAGAGACCCCAGGGGCCTCAGTTGCACCCCAGGGGCCTCAAACATAAGACTAATTTTAGGGTGATGTGAGTTAACTGCAAGGCATCCCAGTGGCCCCAGATGGACCCTAGGGACCCAGGTCTGATGCTAGGAGCCCTAAATACAAGATTCATTTTAAGGTGTTATGAGTTGACTGCTAGATGTTAGGGCACCCAAGAGGCCCTCAGGAGCTCCGTAAAGGTGATGTAAGTTAACTGGCAGGGGTCCCAGTGGCCACAGAATCCCCAGTTGCGTCCCAGGGCGCCACACCTACCATTCATTTTAGTTATGTGAAAGCTTTAGATTCTTTTTATCTGTATATGCACCATAAATACAAAGTTAAGAATTCCATGATTAATATTTTCAAACAGAAGCCCATGAAGAGACCTTGAGTTATAGGCAAAAAAGAATGAATAATGAATAAGAGTAGAAGAGGAAATACTCAATTTGTATGAATATATTTATGTTCTAAATGTTGCATATTGGTTGCATATATGAAGACCTCTTGTAGATAATGTCAGTGATGGTCAAGAGATGTTGACCCAAGTATTGGACATATATTTCTGTTCTAAATGTTCAAATAAAATGTACACATTTTAAATATGTAGACTTGTGTTTTTAGAGACGAAACGGTGCAACATTTTGTAACCTGATTTATCAAGACTTTTCCTGTAGATCATGTCAACGATGTTGGGTGTAAACCGATATCTCAGAAACTTCTGTTTCTTGCTACTTCCAGTATGCATTATACTAACATATATATCTCTATACATTAACATGGTAAATGGTAAATGGACTGTACTTATATAGCGCATTTCTAGTCGTTTGACCACTCAATGCACTGTACAATACATGCCACACTCACCCAATTCAGACACATTCATACACTGAATGCACAGCAATTTGGGGTTCACTGTCTTCGAGCTGCAGCAAGAAGAGCAACAAGAGGATCAAACCGCCAATCTTCCAATTAGCGGACGACACGCTTTACCACTGAGCATACACAGCCGCGTCTGTGTACAATACCTGTAAATATAGGTATATATTCTCACTCTCTCTCTAACCCCAACTGGTCAAGGCAGACAGCCACCCACCTAGAGCCGGGGTCTGTCCAAGTTTTTTGCCTCTTTTTTAAGAGGTCCTTTTAAGAGGCAGAAACCTCGCACAGACCCCGGCTAGATAGTTAGATAGATGTAATGACAGAGATAAAGACAGACAGAGACTACTAGCTGCACACAGATTTTCATGTTGCGGCCCGCATGTGTTACGCCGGCATGTGCACGGCTGCAGCACACCCCGAGTTGCGAGGGCCCGTTCATCGCTGCTTCCAGCTTTAATTTTTATTGATTTTGAATATGTAGAAATTACATTTCTGTTGATCAAATTACCTGTCTTTCAAAACATGGTATTTAATATTTACACAAACACAGTATAATGATGTTAGACTAATAATAAAGAATCTCTGTACTAATAATAAGCAGCTTGCCTTCATGTGGTGCTTTTATATTTAAACAAAGAAGATCAGATTTTTCCACTAATCACAATAAATTAACACCACATTTTGTAAAGCTCTAAGCAGTACATAATAATTTTGTGTAAAAGATCCACCAGTGAGTACAATTCAACATACAATAGCCTCTAAACAAAGACCAATAACCATGGCATCTGGTTGCTTATAGGCTGTAAGTAAACAGAGGTGAAACAAATACTGATGAGGTCTGTCGGTTTGTAGCAGTCAACCTCCTGCTTTGATTATAACATCTGCATTATCATATTCCAGTTGTCTTGCTTACTGCTTTTACAAACACTCAGCATGTGTACTGCTTGACTCTAACCAGTTTAATCTCTCATCTTCAAAAGCCACAACCATTGTCAATAGATGAGTGATTCAGAGCATTTGTACAAATATGCAGCTAGATTTTCAGAAAGAAAAACTGCTGTCCATGTCCTGGTCCATTCATACAGTCAAAATGATTTAAGACTGCAGGTTGATGAGGAATAGATCAAACTGTCATCTTCTGGTGTCCTGTTCTGTTAGACATGACCAAAATAGAAAGAATATAAGACTTTACTCTACGTTGTTTTCGTGTGCTGTGTCTAATGAATCACTTGACATGTTTTTCTTTGGTCATTATAGTCGTGCTCGCTACCAGGCCTATCGAAGTTTTGTTTCCTGGTGTCGGTGATACCTGGGAAAGAACAACCGGGTTGTCATCCCTTCTTGTGTTGTGCACCGAATTCATCAGGAGTACCCTGATGAAGATGGGGAGTACACAGGTTTTAAGCCTCCCATTTGAATGATTTATGTAAATATTTGTTTTATTGTAATGTTCTGTAAATTTGTTACAAACAAAATTATTCATCATTACATCAATACACTTGTAATAAATAATTTATTGAAATTTGTGTCACAACTTTTTGAAATGGAGGGGCTCTGGTGCACAGATGTGCTGAGGCAGAAGGTCAGTCACAGAAACACAGAGGCAGGTGAAAGACAACGACAACTAGACGGGGGAAAAACACTGGGGTCAAATCTTGAAATAGCATAATTTGTGTAAATGTGTTTGTAAATTTGTGCTGTGGAGATGGTGACTAACGTGTTTGCAGAATGTGGCTGGTTTAAAAAACGGACTGTGGCATTAGACGGCTGTTACGTCTACATGTGTTGGAGCTCTTTTTACCCCATCTGGACAGCTGAACCTGAACGCATGGCCAAAAACTGCCTCTGCCTTCTCAGGTCGCACATAATGTGAGCACAACACTGATTTCAGCTCAGCCACAAACGGTGCCGGGTCATGGATGATCTCATTAAAGAGGAAATCGACATCACTGACGTATTTTAAAACAGGAAAAGCACATAACATACCATATAGTTAATACAATTAATTCATGTTGTCTCAAACTAACTACAATTACAAATTCTAATTTGGTGCCAACAGAGTAAATGTTTTTGGAATCATGTATATATCAGCCTGGAGGTGGAAACTTGCATCAGGAAATTGTTAATTGACTAACCTGTAGTGTAGTTGGTCTTCACCATGGACACAACATGTTCACCTCTCTTGGCCTTTGGAAATTTAATTTGAAAACGCAGCTCTCCTGCTGCAGTCATCGCTTGTGTCCGCGCAGAATTCTTGTTGAAATGCAATGAAGCCAGGTACAACCTGAAATAAGAAAGATTTGTATGGGATTATTCCAAACTAAGTTGTAAAGGGCTAGAAGAATACAGTTAACATTAGTGGTACCAGTGCATGGTAGTGTTACATACTGACACCAGCAGATACACAAGTTGTATATAATACAGCGATATTGCTAAATAAATTATATATACAAGTATCACAGGCCAGGTTCTCACACTTTAACACATCCCTAAGTATGAGAAGGACACATTTTTAGGTGCGAAACGCAGAATGACACAGTGGAACCCCTCCAAGGCCGATGATTGGTAGAGAGGCACCTGGCTGCAGACCTCTACTGTGACGTCCTTTCTGGTGCAGGCTCCACTCTCAGGCCACCTCCACTGTCAGGGCCGGAAGTGAGGAAGTTTTTTGGGGGGTGGGGAGGTGGGGAGGACATTTTAAAAGAGACATTTTCACCTGCCTTTTAATTCGAGAGAGACCAGCGAGTGAGCACATGCACCAAAAGAAGAAGGAGAGTGAGCATATACTCCGAGTAGCGATGAGTTTCTGATTTTTATTATCCACAGAAAGTAAATTCATGGTTTCTTGTGTTCTTCGTCAATATAGGTGCCGTTGTAGTAGTCGTTATAGTAGTCATTAATGATGCAAATTACTGAATGTTACATGT